AATGGCAGTGAGCCCCGGAAAAGGTGCTAAGTGTCCACAGCCCTTAGGGAAATGCCAATCGCACCCTCAGGGGATGATTCACCACTCTGGGATGGCTGACCCCAAACACAGTGAGGGTGGAGGGGGTGGGGCCGGCTTTCCTCCAAGGGCAGAGAGCAGGAGATGGAGAATCCCTGGAGTGTGAGGGTGTTTCCCTGTCATCCTCTCCCCATTTTCGTGGCTGGGGTGTCTCCCTGTTCTCTGGCCCTACCGGCTTCCTTCCTCTCCCTTTCTCCTGCCCTCTTTTCCAGCCATCCCAGGGTTTTCTGAGCCTCAGAACCTTCAAGCTGGGGGGTGGGGAGTGGACCGCTTAGCAGAGAAACCGGGAGCCCTAGACCGGGAGCAGCGGGGTCGGGAGGCGACAATGGGAAGCCCCTGCGGGACCCTGGACACGCAGGACCTCGTGTGTCCCGGGCGCCCTCCCACAGCAGCCCCAGGGCAAGGATGAGGGTCCTCGCGGGGACCACACTGTCGGAGTCCTAGGGATTGAAGCGGGACGGTGACGTCTCCACACTGAGCCGGTGGCAAAGTCCCCGCGAAGATGAAGGAGGAACCTGGCGCTCCTCACCCCACCGGCCCCGCATTTCCTAGACCCTCTTGATAGCGGAACCTTTTGCCGCGATTGCCGAGTCTTCCCAGGTCTTCCAAAGATCGTTTTTTCCGCAGACTGTGGACCCGGAGGCCCGGGGACATCGACCTGCAGCTGGGCACCCACTCCGGGGTCTCCACCGGGCAGGACCCTGTCGGAGCTCGGGGACAGCGGGAGCCCTGGGAGGAGCGCGAGGAGCCGGGAGATACGCGGGCAGGTGGAAAGTGAAACCCGCAGGAGGGAACTCTCCCCGAAAGTCATCTGTGGTTGAAAGCAACGATCACCTATAATACCCCGCTATGACAACACGGTTGGGTAAATACCTAGAACCAGTGCCCGCCGGCCCCTGCCTGGGTTCCGCATCCGCAGACCCTCTTGGTCCACAACAGATCAGGCGAGCCCACCAGGTGACGGTCCCTGGGGCTGTAGCGCCGCTCTTCCTTACTACTTCACCCCCATATATTCACCGGTTTCAGGTTAAAAACCATGAAAAGTCATGTGTGCAAGGCTCCCCAACCCTTGCCTTCGCCACTGTCATTGGCCACATGCCCAGGACAAAACTTCATTGGATTCTTATCTTTCCAGGGAGTCTGTTTCCCATTTCAAACGTATATGAATGCATATTCTTAACTCAGGCTTTGATATTTTTGACTCTTGATGAGCCCTGTCACCCTGTCCTTCAGGAAGCCTGTACTAGTTTCCCTCCCTCTACAGTGGATGTTTCACCATCCTCTGCTCAGGCTGTCTTCACAATCACAAACAAGAGTGTAGCCAGCATTGCCATCCCGAGACATGAGACGCTTTAAAGGTGCATTCATTTGCACAGCAATCCTGTGACTGGAAATTTATTCTACACAATTGAATTGGGGATTCGTGCAGGCAGTTTCTGCAGCATTTGGTTTCTGTAAAAGTAACTGACTGGAGACCATCTGGATCTTCATCCATAGACGCTGGTTACCTTTGTTGTGACACAGTCATTCTATGCAATGTCAGACAGAGATAAAAAGGGAAAGAATCTGTACGTGCGGGTCTGGGAAGATCTTCAAAGTGTGTTATTTTGAGATAGACTCTGCATGCAGTAGAGTGCCGATGGGCTTATATTTGTCAACACCACCATTGATGCGTACACACATCTCTACTGTTAGTAAGGAAAACGGTGTTGCCATAACTTGCTGCTTGTGTGTTTGTCCATTTTAGGAAAAATAAATGTAGTTGAAAAGCCATGGTGGTGGGAATTGGTCATCACCGGCCCAGATGCCACACTGCCCGACACATCGTCCCAGCTGAGGCTGCTGGAGGAACAGCAGCGGGAATGCGGTCACCTTGCAGAGAGGAACCTAAAGTCAAACTGGACCACGGGTTTTACGGGGACCTCTGCCTCTTCACCCAACCCCCACCTGGTCAGGCAGTGACCCTGGAGGGGCTGGGACGATGTGGGGAGGGCAGTGAAGATGAGGGTCCAATGGTGGGAGCACGGTGAACACGGAGAGCTCACAGCATCAGGGGAGGAGTTGGTATGATGCCGGGAGCACTGGAAAGGCAGGGAACCAGTCCCCAGCACTCACTGCTCCTCCCATCTGGGACAGGATTGGGGTGAGTGATGAGAAAAGTTTCATGAGAAGCACAGTTCCCAAGCCTGGCAGAATGACTCACCCAATTGCACTAACAGCCAAGACCCACTCAGCCCCTGGATTGATCTAGGGCAGGGCATGGTAAAGTCAGGAGTGTGAATACTACTGAGGCTTCTGCCAGAGCACAGGAAACAGCAACCAGAGGAAGGCTCAGCAAGAGGCTCAGACTACCACCCCCCTACTCTCCCTCAGTGAGGGGGAGGAAGCCTTGCGCCCAGGAGGCTGAGGTTTCATTGACCCCTGATCATGCCACTGCACTCCAGACTGGTGACAGAGCAAGACTCGGTCACACACAGGCTCACACACACAAATTAAATTGTGTGAGCAGTTGTCACACGGAGATCCGGATGCCCTCACTGTGGATTCAGGTCTCAGGGAGCAGGAGGGTGTGCTGTATTGTGGGAAGATGAGGGGCACACATGAAAGGGGTATTTGTGCCCAGCTTTGATGGATGGATGGCCCTTTGCCCAGGGGGAACAGGCCAGTAGAATGCACTAGCAGCTGGGAACCACCACAAACTTTCACTTGAACCTGCTCTGCTGAGCCCTCTGTGCCATCTGTGGACATGGGCGAGGGTGGCTGCTGAACTGGGAGCTCAGGGCCGATCTCTCTGAAGAGCTTTCTAAACCAACCAGTGTCTCCCAGGTTGAGATTTTAGGGTCAAGGTCCTTAATGCTGGCCTCGGTTTTAATGAGCAGGGTCTTTTGGCCAATCAGCATTGGGCAGAGCAGGAGTAAGACATAAATTTTTAAGATAATGTTCAAAGCTGTTTAATTTTGGTAAAAACATAAAATATACAATTACCATCTTGATTAATTGCTTAGTGTACAATATGTTGATTTAAACCTCTGAAACCCTGCCTGCTGTTTCTGTAATAAAACTTAGCCCAGGCCTGGTACGGTGGATCATGCCTATAATCCCAGCACTTTGGGAGGCCAAGGCAGGTGGATCAACTGAGGTCAGGAATTTGAGACTAGTATATTCTCAAAGACCTCACACTTCTAGCAGAGAGGCAAAGGAAATGTGTGAGCAATTTTCACACAGGGAGATCCAGATGTGCTCACTGTGGATCCAGGTCTCAGGGAGCAGGAGGGTGCTCTTTCTTGTGGGAAAATGAGAGATACACATGGGAGGGGTATTTGTGCCCAGCTTTGAAGGATGGCTGGCCTTTGCCGAGGGGGAACAGGCCAAAAGCAAGCACTGGCAGTTGGGAACCACGGGGAACCATGGGGGCGGTTGAACCTGCTCTGCTGAGCCCCCGGGGCCTTCCCCACACCTGGTGGGGGTGACAGTGGGGGCGCTGTTCTAAGGGGAGCTCAGGGCCAATCTCTCTGATGTGCTTTCTAAATCAGCAAGGTGTCCCACAGATTGTGATTTTAGAGACAAGCTCCTCAATGATGTCCTTGATTTTAAGGAGCAGAGTCTTTTTGCCGATCCAATTTCGCAGATCTGAGCAAGACACACAATCTTAAGATAATTTTTAAAGCTGTTTAATTTTAGTAAAAATGTAGAACGTAAAATTTACCATCTTAACCAATGTTTAGTTTACAATATGTTGTTCGAAGCCTCTGAAATCCTGGTGCTTCTGTAATAAAATCTAGCCCCAGGCCAGGCAGGGTGGCTCAGCCCTGTCATCTCAGAACTTTAGGGGGCTGAGACGGGCTCATCACTTGAGACCAGGAGTTGGAAATCAGCTTGGGGAACATAATGAAAATCGGTCTCCACTAAAATACACAAATTAGCCGGGCTTGGTGGCCCGCACCTGTGGTCCCAGCTACTTCGGAGGCTGAAGCCTTGAATTAGAAGGCTGAGGTTGCAGTGAATGGAAATTGCGCCGCTGCACTCCAGCCTGGGCGGCAGAGCGAGACTGTCACGAAGAAACAAACAAACCTACCCGGGCTATAACCACGTCCACTGGGGATTTGGGGAGCGGCCGAGGGGATGGGACCCGGCCTGGGGCTGCTCACCGGGCAGGGAGCGGGTCACTCTGCAGCGCAGGGAGAGGGAAGGCGGGTGTTGCGGGTTCAGGCGAGGACAGGGAGACCCCGTCGCCGCTGCACACTGCTGTGCATTTTCTTCACCTTCCTGTGCTTCGGTGTCCACACTGGGTTAAGAAAAAATGAACAAAATACTGTGATGATTACATGAGGCGGTCATGGAAGGAAGCCCATAATCGCAGGCTTGGGGCCCGGGCGGGCAGCCAAGAGGGAAAACACGAGTGGCCGCCGAAGGCGCGCGGTAGGGAGCGCAATGCGGAGCCCCGGCGGGCAGCCAAAAGGGAAAACACCAGCCTAGCCGCAGGCGGCTAGAAGGGAGCGCGAAGCGACAGACACCCCAGCGAGCCGCCAGAACGGAGCGGCGAGGGACGGGGCCCGGGAAGGCAGCCAAAAGGGAAACTACCAGCTGCGCCGCAGGCAGCCGTCCAAAAAGACCGGCCACCGCCGTGGACCTGTGGCACACAGAAGGGTGGGGCCGGGGGTAAGTGCTTGTGCAAAGAAGTAGAGTTGACTTGGCTGAGCTCTAGGGGGTAGACGCCTGAATGCCAAAAGTGTTTAAGGTTGTGTCTCCTCCGAGGGGCGCGGAGGAACAAGTGCCAGACCTGCTTGTGTTTCACACTACACTCCCAGGCAATTCCTGTCAGCCAGCAAGGCCGGGGTCAGAGGTCCGCTGGGTCCCGACTCTACAGCCCCCTGCACCTTCGGTCCAATGGGACAGCCGGTGACGTAGAGCCCCAGGGTGATTCATCTGCCCGGCTCTCCATCCATCAAATCACTAGTCTTCAGCGCTCCCGGTCCCCAATGGCAGCGGCCGCCAGCCCCGCGTGGCTCCAGTGCCTCCCGCTTCTGCTCCAGCTGTCAGGCTGGTCCCGGGCAGAGAGGGCCGGTGAGTTCTGGGATAGAGCGAAAGCTGGGCGGGGATCAAACCTGGGGGCTGTGGACTGCAGCGAGTTTCAGAGTAGGTAAGGCTTCTCGATGCCCACTCAGTTCCGCTCCGCGGCTCCTTCTTGCCGGGTCTTCTCCCCACTGCTGCTTTTTTCCCGCCTCCAGGAGCAGGGCAGAGAGGAAGCTGGAAAGGAACCTCGGGAGGGTGGAGGGGACAGAGAGCTGCAGAGGGCGCAGGTGGGGCGGAAATCCCTTGTGCAGCCCAGCAGTCCCACCCGCCCTCGGGAAGCAGAAACCAGAGCCCCGGAACCCGACCTGGGGTCAGGACAAGAATGAAGGGGGTTCCACAGGGACAAGATCACAGACACCCCCACCAGCCACAGGCCTGCTCTGCTCTCACCCGCTCTCCACCACACAAACCCTCCAGCACCCCCAGGGCTCCCTGTCCTTGAATTTTCCCCTGCGCTGTCCTGCAGACACTCACTTGCACCCAGGGGCTCAGCAGATACTTCCCACCACTCCCCTAACATCCACTGCCACCACCCAGGTCACATCCTCTCACTCCCCACCTCAGCCCAGCTGGTCACCCCAGAGGTCTCCCCATCCATGAAGGGGCCCTCGCCACCTCCTACACCACGTGGCACCTTCTGCCTCCTGCCTGAGAACACACCCCAGCAAACACAGCCCAAGCTCCCCACAGAACCTGTGCAGGGGGATGGGAAGCGCCATTTCCTCCAGGATGACCCTGGGAACTCTGGTGAGTAGAGATGCCCACTTCCCCTTTGGGGCCCAGACCAGCCTATTCTTCCTACTGGGGATCCAGCGTCATAGAGAATAGTCACTGTGCAGACAGAGGTCACGAAACCCTTTCAAGAAAGGGAGAAAGGATGCCCTGTGGTCTTTGCAGACTTTGGGTTCTCCTTTTCTGTATCTAGTCGTGTCCCTTTGTAGAGCTGTGATGATTACATGAGGCAGTCACAGAAGGAAGTCTGTAATGGTAAGGCTCATGTCCTCCACTGGCAGCCAGCCAGGTGTGAAGGTGGGCGGGGCCCAGGGTCAGTGCCTACCCTTTCACAGCAAACTGTAGCTGGCCATAAATACCTCTGGAGGAGGTCACAAAGAATTGTTCCACTTGCTGCAGGGTTAAAGAGTCCCTCCATCATTGGAAACTGGTATCTTCTAGTAATGGGTTCAGGGTCTGAGAAGTGACTTAATTCTGAAAACTGGGCAAAGGAACCTCGTTCTTGATGGACTGGCTGCTTTCAGCCTCCTGGTCACCCATCATTTGTTTTATCTTTTTTTAGTTATTTACACCCAGCAGTATCTGGGTGTATCTTGGATCTTGGACCCTTTAGTTCTATGAGCCATGGGTATAGCTTTGTATGGCTGAGGTCCCCAGCTGGCGTTGGGACTTCCCTAATCATTTCCATCATGGCACCCTCCTTGCTCCTGACAGTTGACAGCCTCCACCTGGAATCTGCTATTTCAGGATTTCTTATCCCATTACTCCTGGGAGCCCATTTCAGGAACAGCATCTCCTACCCCCAACCCTGGCCTTCAGCAACAGGCATCCCTGAGCTTCCCCCCATTCTGGTGCCTTCTCATGGGGCCTTCTTTATATGCTGGGTAAACAGGAGTCCTCCAGGCTCCCCATGAGCACAGCAGGTGGACATTGTTCTGGATTTTCACACTCAGACCCCTCTGGCATGGGCACTTCTCTGAGCCTGTGATCCCTCCCTCTACTACCTGCCTTAGATTTTCAGATTTTCTGTTTCTTGCTGTCCCCTTTGTCCAAGATTTCAGGAAGGCATCCTCATAGCAGAAGGGCACCATCACCAGGAGCTTTGCCAACATGTTAAATCCTGTGACAAGAACAATTAACTCTGCTTTATCCAAGTGGGTTCCATCCTCAGTCCATCCCACCGTGCACCGGCATCCTCAGGGGCAATCCCCACTCCCTCCCGCCTCCTGCAGTCCACGTGGGCTGCTGCTGAAGATCCTCTGCCATCCAGGCCCTTCCTCCTCTAGCAGGCCTGGCACCTCTCTAGCAAGGTCGTGTGTTGACCATGTGGGCAGAGGGGCAGGGGGACATGTTTGGGGACATGTGTTTTCTCAGCAGGCAGAGACCTCCTCCTCCTCCTCCTTGTGCTCATGCAAGGGGGAGCACTCTTAAACTTGTGGACACCACAGTTCTGGAGGGGGCACTCATTGCTGGGCCAGCCCAGGCCTCCAGAGGTGTACTCTTAATGTCACAGTATTGAGGAGGCCATCTAGGGGTCTTTTTCTGCCCACCCTACCCACACATGTCTTTCTCCACAGACCCTCACTCTCTTTGCTATGATGTGACCATCACCCCTAAGTTCAGACCTGGACCATGGTGGTGTGTGGTTCAAGGCCAGTTGGATCAAAAGACTTTTCTTCACTATGACTGTGGCAACAAGACAGTCACACCAGTCAGTCTCCTGGGGAAGAAAATAAATGCCACAAAGTCCTGGAAAGAACAGAACCCAGTCCTGAGAGAGCTGGTGGACATGCTCACCGAGCAACTGCTTGGCATTCAGTTGCAGAATTACACACCCAGAGGTAAGTTTAAGATGGTCCAGGACAGGAGGGAGCAGATGCAGGGGTAGGTTAGAGGCTTTTATAGTTTTCATGAAAAATACAAATGGGAAGGTCATCTCACCCTACAAGAGGTCTAGAGGTAAGGCCAGGATGTGGCAGAGAGAGTAAGGCCTGGAAATTTTAAGGGGAACAGTATGAGGGCTCAAAATGTGTCAAGACCAGAGCTGATCTCTCTCTGTGGGGGCAGAACCCCTCACCCTGCAGGCCAGGATGTCTTGTGAGCAGAAAGCTGAAGGACACAGCAGTGGATCTTGGCAGTTCAGCTTCGATGGACAGATCTTCCTCCTCTTTGACTCAGAGAACAGAATGTGGACAACGGTTCATCCTGGAGCCAGAAAGATGAAAGAAAAGTGGGAGAATGACAAGGATATGACCATGTCCTTCTATTACTTCTCAACGGGTGACTGTACACGATGGCTTGAGGACTTCCTGATGGGCATGGACAGAACCCTGGAGCCAAGTGAAGGAGGTAACAGAAGAAAAGAAACAGGGATCTTGAATTAGGTCAGAAATGGGGATCTCCAGAAATTCGTTCTTGAGTTCAGCTTCAATGATGCCAGTGTACACATTTATGTTAAAATGACCCGCTCGTGGGGGACTCCTCCTGGGGGTGCCTGTGCTCTACCATCCTCCTCTCCCTTCTCCCTCCTGACTCCTCTTCCTCACTGCCCTCGCTTCTGCCCCCCTCACTGTGGATTTCTCACCAGCCTCCAATCTGTGGCCATCACTGTGTTTCCACCTTTCTCCTTAGCGTTCCCTCATACTAGGAGCACTTTTCATTTTCTTTCCTCTACCTTGGTCTGTATCTGGAAGTCCATCAAAACCACCTCCAATACCAACCCCAACACCCTCCCCTCCCCCATCCTGGGGCATCACCTCCTCTTCCACCACAGCAGGAGGGTGGGCTGTGCTTCCTCAGCAGCTGTGTGAGCTCCCTGAGGACAGGGATGCCCCTCTCCCTTCCTAACCCAGGACCTGTCACAGTGCCTGCCCAACAGCAGAGGGGGACACCATCTCTGCCTTGCAGGATGATCTGGGGCAGCAGGAGCTGAGGAGGGGTCCCCTAAGATTAGGGGCCTGGACAAGGGTTGTCACTCTTGTGTTTCCATTTCAGCACCACCCACCATGGCCCCAGGCACTGCCCAACCCAAAGCCACGGCCACCACCCTCAGTCCCTGGAGCCTCTTCATCATCCTCTTCTGCTTCATCCTACCTGGTATCTGAGGAGAGTCCACTGTGAAGGGAGGAGAAACTGGAACAGGCTTCCTGAAGGACAGGGTGATGGGGCTCCAACAGGAGTCAAAAATATCCAAGTCTGAATTAAGAATACGTATTGAAATGGCGTAAAGACTCCCTGGAAATATGAGAACCCAATAAAGTTTCATTCCAGGCATTTGGCCAATGAGAATGGACCCAGGCAGGGGCGGGGGAGCCTTTCACACTTGACTTTTCATGGTTTTCATCCTGAAACAGGTGAACATATGGAGATGAAGAAGTAAGGAAGAGTGGGGCCCGGATCCCCAGGGACTGTCACCGGGTGGGTTCGCCTGACCTATTGTGGGTCATGTGGGTCCAGGGATTCGGATCCTGGGCAGGGACCTGCGGGGCTGCTGCAGTGACAAGGCACTGCTTCTAGATATTTACCCAATGGTGTTGCCATGGGGGAATATTACAGGCAATTGCTGATTTCAACCACAGATGACTTTCGGGTAAAGATCACACCTGAAGGGTTTCAGTTTCCACCACGCACTGTGCTCTCCGGGTTCTGCGCGCTCCTCCCAGGGGGTCCACTGCTCCCGAGCTCTGGAACCTGGGCCTGCCGGGTGCAGGCCCCGGATTGGGTGCCCGGCTGCCGGCCGATGCCCCGGGCCTCCAGGTCCACAGCCTCCAGGCAAAACGGCTTTTGGAAGACCTGAGAGGACTCGTTGGTCTCAGCAGCCAGACGGTTCTAGGGTCAGGAGGATCCAGGAAATGTGGGGCCTGCTGGGGTAAGGAGCACGAGGTTCCTCCCTCATCCTCGAGAGGACGTTGCCACAGGCTTGGTGTGGAGACGTCACTGTCCAGCTCGGATCTGTGGTGCTCCGACAGTGTGGCCCCCCAAAGGACCCCCCATCCTCCTTGCCCTGGGGCTACTGTGGGAAGGCACCCGAGACGCGTAGGTCCTGACTGTCTAGGGTCTCACGAAGACTTCCCGGTGTCGCCTCCCGGACCCCAACACTCGTGGTCCAGGGACCCTGGTTTTTCTGCTGGGCTGGGTCCAGGAACATGGAAGTCCTGAGGCAGAGAAAACCTTGGGATGGGTGGAACTGAAGGATCCGAGGGAGGGCGGGAGAAAGGGAGAGGAAGGAAGCAGGTAGGGCCAGAGAACAGGGAGAAACCCCAGCCCCCAAAATGAGGAGAGGGTGACACTAGGACAGCCCCACACTCCACCGACTCTGTCTCCTGCTCTGTGCCCTGTGAGGAATGCAGCCCCCTCCCCCTCCACTCTCTTTGTGTTTGGGGTCAGACATCCCAGTGGGGTGAGGCGTCCCTTGTGGGTGTGATTGGCATTTCCCTGAGGGCTGTGGACACTGAGCACCTTCTCCTGGACTCACTGCCATTTGCATTCCTCTTCTGATGCCAGCTGGCAAGAGGTCCCAAAACGCCAGTGGGTCTGCAACCCCAGCCGCTGTTGGGCTCTTGACACCGCCTGGAAATGAGTTCAAGGACCAGTAGGAAAATAGAGAACAGACGGAGATTTATGGAAAAGTGCACACTCAAGTAACAGGAGCGCAGGGGAGCTCTAGAGAGAGGCAGGTGCACAGGGCTTTGGGGCTGCCACCTTTCTGGGTTTCTTTAACCAAGGGGTGAGATATTCATGAAAATTCCTGGAAAAAGGAGAGGATTTCTCCGAACTGCGATTCCACCCATTTTTACACCAAACATAGGTATTCTCCGAAGTGCTGGGGAGCTGGCTGGTGTGTTTACTATGTTCATCAGCATGTAATGAGGTCTGAGGTGAAACCTACAGCAAATCCAGGGCCATGTTGGGTCCACTCATTCATTCTTAGCCAGCTTGGTTCACACTCTGTCGTTTAGGGTCTTACAGCCCGGAGCCCTTGCAGATATTTCAACAGATTCCTTTGGCTAGTCTCTGAAACTGCTGCCTAAACGTTTCTCTTCTCTTACGACCACGCTTTATTATACCTGTCTCCCTTTGGAGAAATATTTATTCAAATTCTTACATATATTCAAATTGGGTCATTTTGCTTCATAATACTGAGTTGTAAGCATTCTTTATATATTCAGGATACCAGTACCTTACCAGATATATGATTTTCAAATATTTTCTCCATTTAAAAAGTTTTTTAACCTTTTAAGTGGAGTCCTTTTTGAAACACAAATGTTTTACATTTGCATGAAATGAAATTAAACTGCCTTTAATTTTGCCATTTGCTCCATTGGCATACAGTGTTCATTTCTGTCCCTGAATTCTAAGTTCCCGTCTGTCACCCGCATGTGAACGCGGCACCTACCACAGTGGCTGCCATAGGATACAGTTTAAGACACATGAGAAGAATCCAATCATCAGACTACCCCAGGGCTGCTAGAACTCAGAAAGGGATCCTCATCGTTTGGCAGATTGGACAGAGGACTTCATTTCTGTTCTTTCCAGCACCAATCTCCATGGCTCCACCCATCCCTATTCCTTCCTCCCTTAAGATTGACTGGTCAGGATAGGGGCAGGGGCCGGAGCAGCTATACCTGCTCTCCTCCACCACCCACGGCGGGGTGCATCCTTGGTGGGACTTGGTGAGCACGACAACCCCTGGGCTTAAGGGATCTGGAGCCTCCACAGCCCCATAGAGACCAGGAGGAGCTGTTCAGCCACTTGCAGAGACAGCCAGAGAGTGCTTCAAGGACTGCGTGGAGCTCTGGAGAAGCCAGGAGTCCACAACCTTCTTTTGTGGAGCATGAGAAATTTAGGCAGGATCATATCTACAGAAGAGGCTGTCACTTTGGGTGAGCAATGCTTTCACCTCCTTACCCCTCCAGATCAGAGGGGGCGCTTTACTTGTTTTTATGGATTATTGTGTCAACCAAAACAAGAGGTCAGAATCACCCTAAATATCTGAAACTTCTTCAAGATTTGACAAATTCACAACATTTTAATGCCACTTCTGTGCTTGAGGAAGCTGTGGCTGAAGAAAACATTTTATCATATAGAATTGCTCAAATTACTTATACAGAATTTAAAAATCTACAAACTGTCACACAACCATGTGAAAAGTAAAAACTAAATAGCAGTAAGCTTTAGACCAGGAGTGGGGGCTCAGGCCTGTAATCCCAGAGCTTTGGGAGGCCAATGCCAGAAAATTGCTCAAGGCTGGGAGCTGGACATCAGCTGTGGCAACATGGTGAGACCCTGTCTCTACAGAAAATTTTAAAAATTGACCAAGTATAGTAGCATGTGTCTGTAGTCCCAGTCCTAGTCCCAAGGAAGCAAAGATGGGAAGATCTCTTGAGCCTGGGAGTTTGAGGCTGCAAGAAGTTGAGGTGGCGCCACTGCACTCCAGCCTTGGGACAGAATGAGAGCCTGCCTCAGAGAAAACAACAATCAACAACAACAACAACATAAGAAATAACACAAACAAATTAAATAAGCTAAGAAGAAGACTTGTGGGACCCAAATGGGAAATCATGCCATTTCTTATTTTGATGTTGTAAGGGGTTTGCTGAGTGTCAGTATTCGAGAATGTTCCATCTCATGAAATATATTCTCCTCTGGTGAATCCACTCCAGTCTTCTGAGAAGCAAGTGCCTCCCTGGGATTCACAGGATGGATTTCATTGGTGGAGACGCTGGGAGAACCGCTCAGCAGGATACAATTCTGATGCCAAGTGCAGGAGGGAGGGACAGGAGGTGGGACAGGTGCATCCTACACTACAGTGAGTGGTGCTGGGACCACTGGATGCCACATGCAGAAGAATGAGGCGGATCTTTCCTTCCAGCACACACAAAAATTAGCTCTAGGTGAATGGCAGATGTCCACCTAACACATGACACTATGAGAGTCTCAGAAGAAAATAGAGCAGTACATTTTTGTCACCCAGGATTTCGCAAAGGCTTCTTAAGTACTGTATGCCAATAACACAAATGTCAAAATAAAAGGTAGTTTCATTTCATGCAAATGTAAACCTTTAGTGCTTAAAAAAAATTCCCTTTAGGTTAAAAAACTTACAGAATGAGACAAAATATTTAGAAGGCATATATCTGGTAAGGGACTGGTATCCTGAATATATAAGAAACTCTTGCAGATCAATATTATAATGTGAAATAACCCCACTTAAATATATGCACGGAATTTGAATAGACATTTCTCCGAAGTGAGACAGGTACACTACACCATGGTCAGAAAAGAATAGAAAATTTTAGGCAGCAATTTCAGGTGACGAGCAAAAGGAGTCTGTTGAAATATCTGCAGAGGCTGGGGGGCTTATAAGATGCTGACAAACAGCGTGAGAACCAAGCTGGCTAAGAATGAGCGGACCCAACATGGCCCTGAATTTGATGCAGGTTTCACTTCGGACCTCACTACATGCTGATGAACGTAGTAAACACACCAGCCAGCTCCCCAGCACTTCGGAGAATACGGATATTTGACGTAAAAATGGGTGGCATCGAAGTTCTGAGAAATCCTCTCCTTCCTGGAATTTTCATGAATATTCCACCCCTTGGTTGGAGAAACTCAGAAAGATGGCAGCCCAACCCCAGTCCACCTGCCTCTCGAGCTCCCCTGCACTCCCTTTACTCGAGTGTGTACATTTCCTTTTATAATAAATCTCCCTTCTTTCTCTATTTTCCTACTGGTCCTTGAATTCATTTCCCCAGGCGGTGTCAAGAGCCCAACACCGGCTGGGGTCAGGGTCCCATCAGCGTTTGAGGACCTCCCCTTGCCCACTGGCATAGAAGAGGAATGCAAATGGCAGTGAATCCAGGAAAAGGTGCTCAGTGTCCACAGCCTTCAGGGAAGTGCCAATCACACTCTCAAGGGGATGCCTCCCCTGGCTGGGATGGCTGACCCCAAACACTAAGAGGGTGGAGGGGGTGTGGCCTGCGTTCCTCACCGGGCAGAGAGCGGGAGACAGAAAGTCAGTGGAGTATGGGGACTGTTCCAGTGTCATCCTCTCTCCAGTGTGGAGAAGGGGGAGTTTCTCCCTGTTCTCTGGCCCTACCTGCTTCCTTCCTCTCCCTTTCTCCGGCCCTCCCTCTGATCCTTCTTTTCCGCCCATCCCAAGGTTTGCTCCACCTCAAGACGTCCCTGCTCGGGGTCCCACAGCCCAGGGGAGAAACCGCAAGCTGTGAAGTCGGAAAGGCGACTACGGGAAGCCCCTGCGGGACCCTGGACACGCA